ATGGTAAATTTTATGTTATGTGTATTTTAACATAATTTTTTTTAAAAAGGCTTATTCCTATAGTGATACATGAAGCACACAGCATCACCTATGAAGTATCTTACCGAAAATATTTGACCTGAATCTAAACAAACCTTTAGACCTACCTTCCAGTTTATAAGAAACACAGCAGTTAGAGAAACATAGTAAATGACACCATGAAGAAACCTTAAGACAAACACAGAATGTGGGATATTCTACAAGACAACTGGTCTGGTCTTTTTGAAAAGTCAGTGTCTTTTGGGGAGAACCATTCCAGGATACAGAGATTACTGAGACATAAGCAAAGGCAGCACACATACTTTGATTGGATTCTGGTTCCAAAAAAATCCCAAAAAGACATTTTGGGGAGCAATTTGGGAAGCTTGAATATAAACTGGATAACTGATGACATGAGGAAATTAATTCTCTCAGGTATGATAATGGTATACTGGTAAACAGGAGAAGAGTGATCTTAGTAGATGAATGCTGAATCCTTTAGGGGCGAAACGTCATTATGTCTGCAATTTACTTTCAAATGATTAAGTAAAACACAGGTGTAAGTTTGAAAAGTTTCATAATCAAAACTTGGGGGGACTTCCCTGGTGGTCCAGTGGTTAAGAATCCGTCTTGCAATGCAGGGGATGCCAGTTTGATCCCTGGTAGGGGAACTAAGATCCCACATGCCGCGGGCAACTAAGCCCGCATGCCACAACTAGAGAGCCCACGCACTGCAACTAATGAGCCCACGCGCCACAACTAGAGAGAAGCCCACACACCGCAACGAAGAGCCTGCACACTGCAACGAAAGATCCTGCATGCCACAACTAAGACCCAATGCAGCCAAAAAATAAAAATAAAAAACTTGGGGAGAGGGAAAGGCATAAAAATATAAACAGTACAACAGTGATCATTTCTGGGAAAGAAAATAGGTAACAAGTCAGGGAAGGGAGAGAATCTTCTTTTTTACTGTATATCCTTTGGAATTTTCTGAATTTTATACCATGTGCATATATTCACTATTCAAATAAATAAGGTTTTTAACATTAAACATGATTATCTTTTCAGTAGTGGAGTCACAGTTTTTACTTTCTCTATTTTAGACTCAGAAAAAAATATATTAAAAAAAATTTAGACTGGGGTTGGGGGTAGGGAATAGTTTAATCTCTATAAATTCTATCTCAAGATTCCCCCCAACATGCTATCTGACCTTGAACTGAGGACCTGATTTCTAAAACCCTTCTACCCAGCTATAAAAATGGCAGCCCAGGTCCTTCCACAGAGGCAGTACAAGACAGTGATTAAGAGCTTGGGTTCTAGGGGCTTCCCTGGTGGCGCAGTGGTTGAGAATCTGCCTGCCAGTGCAGGGGACACGGGTTCGAGCCCTGGTCTGGGAAGATCCCACATGCCGCGGAGCAACTAGGCCCGTGAGCCACAACTACTGAGCCTGTACGTCTGGAGCTTGTGCTCCACAACGAGAGGCCCGCGCACCGTGATGAAGAATGGCCCCTGCTCGCCACAACTAGAGAAAGCCCACGCACAGAAACGAAGACCCAACACAGCCAAAAATAAATAAATAAATAAAATTAAAAAAAAAAAAAAGAGCTTGGGTTCTAGTCCAACAGACCAGGTTCTAATCTTAGTTTCACCACTTCTTAGCTGACCTTCCTTTCCCTCACCTGGAAAATCTGAAAAACCATGACTCATGGGTAAAATCATCTAAAACAATGGTTGGCACATAGTTCTCTGTGGGAGTGGCAGGAGCACAGGTATGACAGGCACAGGTTCTGATCCTGGCTCTGAGAATCAAGTGTGCAAGTGATCACAACTCTTTGTGCCTGGGTCTTCTCATCTATAAAACAAAGATAATGGTATCTCCCTCCTAGGGTCACTGTGAGAATTTAAATGTAAAGTGTCCTAATAAATAAAGTACTTGCCACACAGTGAATGCTCAATAAATGGCAATCCTATCCTAAGCAGGTCTGGACTCTTAGCTTAGTCTCCCTCATCACAGCAGGACTAGCACATCATGCTGACCAGGAGTCAGCCTTTTAGGCACCCATTTCCAACTTTTGGGCTTCTCCCATGCTCTCCAAGGATGGCAAGAACATCTCACAACCAAAGGTCTCCCTACTCGCAATCATTCAATATTGTAAACATTTTTATAACAAGCATTATGACCTGAACAATGATATAATGTTTCAAGGAATGTCTTCTTTGGGGCACTCCGTAGACCAGTGATGAAGATACAAAACAGAATAAACGTTAACATGTAGCAAGTGTCTACTATGTGGCAGAGAGAAATTCACTGAGGGGAATCAAAGAATGCCTTGTGGAGCTGGGCACTGAAGAATGGGGTCGGATGTAAGCCTGACATCTACTCGAAGAATGAGGAAGAAGGCGGTCTCTTCCCCCTCCCCCACTTTCCTTTGATTATAAAAATGTAGCTCAACTTAATCCTTGGAGCAGAGCTCCCTCACCTTCCCACTTGTATCCCTCACAAGCATCCTATAAATCTACTTCTTGCCTGTCAAAAAAAAACACAGGGTACGGGAGGGCCAGTCAGACCAAGGGCCTTTTCGGAATACCTGGGTATACAAATTTACCCATGTTGAGGAGACTGAATGCCAAGAGGTGCATCTCAGCTCTTTCCACAGGGGCCACCACACCAAAATCCTAAGAAACTGCAGTGGAACCCCAAGCATTAGCCATCTAGGCCAGTAGTTCTCAAATGAGGTGGGGGAGGGTGGAGTGATTTTGCCCCTCCCCCCTGAGGACATCTGGTAATATCTGTAGACTTTTTTTTTTGTTTTTTTTTCGGTACGCGGGCCTCTCACTGTTGTGGCCTCTCCCGTTGCGGAGCACAGGCTAGGGACGCGCAGGCTCAGCGGCCATGGCTCACGGGCCTAGCCGCTCCGCGGCATGTGGGATCTTCCCGGACCGGGGCACGAACCCGTGTCCCCTGCATGAGCAGGCGGACTCTCAACCACTGCGCCACCAGGGAAGCCCTGTAGACATTTTTGATTGTCACACCTGGAGGGGGTGGGGGGGGTTGCTACTGTCACCTAGTGGGTAAAAGCCAAGGATGCCACTAAACATCCTACAATCCTAAAAGCCAAGGATGCCACTAAACATCCTACACCTTACAATGCCACTAAACATCCTAGTGGGTAAAAGCCAAGGATGCCACTACACATCCTACAAGAACGGACCCCACAGCAAAGCATTATCTCACTGGAAATGTCAATAGTGCTGCTGTTGAGAAACCCTGCTTAAAAGAGAGCCATATCTAGGCAAGACTCCAGGGAAGGTCATCAGTTACAGCTACTTCAGCAAGAGCAGCCCCTCAGGCTAGAAAGTGATTTAGCTAGAACACCTCTGAGGTGAAGGAACACAGCAGGATTCCAAACAGACCTCTAATGTCCGTAGATGGGAGGACTCCATGGTGTATAATTTAGAGATGGGGAATTTAGATATGAAATGGAGGCCTTATCTGACTACCCTTTCTTTCCTCCTTTCCTTCCTTTTTCTTTCTGTTTTTTCTCCCAGTTTTAACAAGATATAACTGACATACAACACTGTATTACTTTCAGGTGTACAACATGATTCTGTATTTGTATATATTGCAAAATGGTTGCCACAATAAGTTTAGTTAGCATCCATCACCTCACAGTTAATTTTTTTCTTGTGACTTTTTTAAGATCTACTTTAAAACATACAAAATATACAATACAGTATTGTTAACTAATGACCACTCTTCCTAAAAAGCCATCCAAGTCACTCTATCACATCACTGTATCACATCAATCCTGCACAGCACTTATCACAGCCGAAAAATAACTTATTTCCTCCTTTATTATCGTCTTTCCCCTCTGGAATGTAAGTTCTCCAAAAGCATGGCTTATTCTGTTCTCCGCTGTTTCCACAGCACCTTGACTGAATAACTCCTTATAAAGCAGTAAGCATTCAATAAATTTGACGGGCGAATGAGTTCTGACTTTTGATGGTTTCAGTGGTAGGAGAGGCATGCCTCGAATTCGAGGCATCCCGACCTCTCAGTTGAGGCCGGGGAGTCGAGACCCCAAGCACTCCGGAGACGCGAGCACGGAGTCCGAAATTCAAAAGTGCCGCCTCCAGAGAAGAGTTTTTAAAAGAAAGGAAAAAAAAAAAAAAAAAAGGAATTGGAGTGTACCAACGCGAGGCGGGAGGGGGCACTGGGATGAAACAGAAGTATACCGCTTGGCCCGGAGGCTACGGGAGGACCACGAGCGGTCCTACATCTGCCGGGGGGTTCAAACAATGCGTGGAGGCCGGATGCAGCTGCTCCGGGGAGGAACTGCGTGGCCAGCGACTGGCAGCCGGCTCCGGACGCGCCACTTTTGGCTGCAGGGGGCAGTGGGCGGGGTAACGTACACTTCGGCCCGTACCACTCGGGCCGGGAAGGGGGTCGCACAAAGAGAGGGCAACTGACACCTGGGGAAGAGGTTCGCGTCAGAGCACCCAAGCGGGAAAAGCGGGTCCAGGTCGAACCCCTCAGGAGGGCAAGGAACCTGTTAGGGTTTGCGACATTTCAGGCTGCACAGGCTGGATTGTACTACTGTGCTGCCGGATAGGGGGCTCCAGGCTGGGACGTTAAGCAGGGCCGCAGCCGGGTTTATCTCACCAGAGCCATTGGGTCCAATGATGGCGGTGAACCTCTGAAATGGTCCGATAATCTGCCGACCCTTGTACGACTTAAAGTTCTCGATCTCAATCAGCTTCAGGAAACCCATGACCGTGGCGGCGCCGGCGGCTGTTAGAAAGGCCGCGCCGTACGCCCGCGAACGGGGATAGCCCGCGCGGGAAACACCGCAGTGCAGGCCGGGCGGACGGCAAACCTCGCGAGAATAAGTCCAGGCCTAACGGGATTTTCGGCTTCCGGCGCGGGCGGGGCCTTCGGGCTGACGTGGATGTTTTCTAGATCCGTTGCCAGGGCGCGAGGTTACGACAGGCGTTTGGGCCCCTCCCCACTTTCTTGTCGCACGGCAACGCAAACCGCCGCTACACCCAACGTAGCCTTGGAGGAGGCAGGCGGGGCCAGGAGGAATCTGCAGCTGTTGGGATGGGGGAAACCTGTCTGAAGGAGCAGATCCTTGCGGAGACAAGCCAGGAGTCACAGCAGGATTATGCCCTCCAGGGCAAGAGGAAGGTGGGAGCTCGGCTGCGGCTTTTGTCTGGCCGGCGGGAAGGCTCAAACAAGAACGGGGTCGGGAATTGGAAGGACCCCAGGGAGCGGAGGGCTGTACAAGAAGGAGGGGCCAGCGGGAGGATTCCGTGTTAGAGTTCAGATCTTGCTGAGGGTGGAGTAGGGTTGGAAGTGGAGTGGGGTGAGGTTATAGGTGGGATGGGGTGTGAAGGGGGATGGGGCGTGGATGGAGATGAGGATACTCTGGAGCGACTGGGATACGGGCTGGGGAAAACTATGGCCAGAGGTACTGTCCCTATCCCCCGCCTCCCTCCTGTTTCTCCAAGCAGAGTTCAGAGACTGCCGCTATAGCTGCTATAGTCTTGGACCTGATGCTAGACCCAACCTGGAGCTTCAAAATTGGGACTCCTTGCTGAGAAAGATATTTTGTGTGAACCCCTGGGAGTCAGGGTCCCTAAGCCAGTGCTCTCCACCTCTATCCTTCTTCCCTTCTCCCCACTTCATCTCTCTCTCTCCATGCCTCACCCCCATCTCATTCCCTCCTCTCCATCCCCCTCTGCCGTCCCTTGCTTCCTCCCTTCCTCTTCTCTCTCTGCCCTCCACCCCTATCAACCGCCCTGTTGCCCTCCTTCCTCTCTTCTGCCTCTGCCCCTGACTCTGCCCTTTCTATCCCCTTCCCCTCTGTTTCCCATCTTTCTATCCCTCTGCTCCATCCCCTCATCCCCCATCACTTTATACCTGCTTTTTACTAAGCCATGGCCTTAGCAGTCCAAGAGGCTGTCTGTGGAATCTTCCCCTTCAGTGTGACCTTATATTGTGGTGACAGATGGAATGAGTAGGCTGGCATTGGTGCTTAGACTTAGACATGAAAAGGGTCTGGTGGCTGCCACAGCCATTCCTGTGACTATTTTTTAAATGATGTCTGGAGGCTGGGAAGAGTCTTAAAGTCTTAGGACAAGTCCAGGAAAGTGAGAAAGCTTGGTTGATGCAATCTAGTAAATGAAGTTCAGTTGGGAGAAACAGTCATGATCAGGCTGAGGGGATAAAATGACCAAAGGACAGCAATCTCATATAATTGACAGGAACTACTGTTCCATTTAAGATGAAATGGAGCTTGGGGGGAAAAAAGTCAAATTGGATCCCTACTTCTCACACCATATACAAAATGCAATTCCCAAATAGATTAAAAACTTAAATGAGAAAAGCAAAACTTTAGAAATTTTAGAAGAATATATAGGAGAATATCTTTATGACCTCAGGGGATTTCTTAAATAATAAAAACTTTTGAGCTTAAAGGAAAAGATTGGTAAATTTGACTACATTCAAATTCCTCCAAATTAGAACATAAAGTGAAAAGATGGTAAGTGCACACAGAAAGCTTCTAAAGTATTGATACTGTTCTATTTTCTGGGTTCTGTGGAGGGTTCACAGGTGTTCATTTTGTTGTTATACTTCATAACTTACATGTGTTAACCATATTCTTTTGTGTGTATCAACTGTTACCATAAAATTATTATAAAATAATAATAAAGTGAAAAGACAAGCCACAAATTGGAGATATTTGCCACAGGTAAACTAAGAAATGATTAGTGTGTAGAATACAAAAGGAACTCCTAAAATTAATAGGAAAAGGACAAACTGATTTTTTTTAATGAGCAAAAGATATGAATGGGCACTTCACAGAAGAGAAAGAAAAATGGACAAAACACACATGAAAAGATGTTGCAACCTCATTAGCAATAAGGAAAATTCCAATTAAAACTGATAATTATAATTTTATACCCACAAGTTGGCAAAAATTAAAAAGTCTGTAATATCCAGTGTTGCTGAGGATGTGGAGTGGCTAGAGTTTTTATACACTATAGTGAAAGTATAAATTGGTACAATCTCCTTGGAAAACAACATTATCTCGTAAAGTTTAAATAGGCTTATGCCCTATGATCCAGCACTTCCGCTCCTAGGTATATGCTAGGGAAACTTTTCCACCTGTATATATGTCTCTTTTAATCTACAAGTCCTTTCTCTTTTCCTCTTGCAATTAAAAAATAAATAAACTGGGTTGTTTGTGCTGCTGGGTTGTTTGACTAGAGTCCTAGTCTCTCTTGAACCCAGTTCAGTCAGGCCCCAGCAAAAATGTTCTAATCAAGGTCATCAGCAACCCTCCCCTTCAAATTAGTCAGTTCTCAGTCTTCGTCTTACTTAACCCATCATCAGTTGCCCACTCTCTCCTCCCAAAGCACTTTCTTCACTTGGCTTCTCAGGCATTCCCATTTTTTCTCCCACCTCACTGGCCACTCCTTAGCTTCCAGTGCTGGCTCCTCCTCTCCCTGTCTCCCCTGAGGCATTCTTAACTATCTACAGTCCCTTAGAGATCTCTCACTGCCTCATAGCTTTAAATTCCTTATATCAGGCAGGATGGGCTAAATTATGCTGAGGTGACAAACAACCTCAAAATCTCAGCAGCTATATGTGGAAGCTAATAAATACAACAAACTAGTAAATATGACATAAAAGAAGCAGACTTACAGACATTGAGAACAAACTAGTGGTTACCAGTGAGGGGGTAGGGGCAATATAGGGGTGAGAGAGTGGGAGGTACAAACTACTGGGTGTAAGATACGCTCAAGGATGTATTGTACAACATGGGGAATATAGCCAATATTTTGTGATAACTGTAAATGGAAAGTAACCTTTAAAAAACTGTTTAAACGTGTGTGTGTGTGTGAGTTGTGGAAAAAAATAATATCTACTTCATAGAAATATTAAGAAGAATACTAGTAGGTCAAATATCAGCATTTTTATATGGTGCAACCTAATAAATGAGTTACTAATACAACATGCTTATAATTGCACATTTACAGTAAATGCTCAGTAAATGTTAACTGTGATGACAATAAAAAAAGAAAAAATAAAATCATAGGCTATATAAAGCTTAGTAAAAATATGTGCTACATAAGAACAAATTGTTTCTGACAGAGGCCCTGAGAAAGCCTTAAGTGATCTATTTTTGTTTATTTTTAGTTTCAAGCTATGTTATAGGTGGGTGAGGTTGCTGGTTAACTAAATTCCAGTTAGGTAAGGTCTTGCTATACAGAAGCAGAATAATAAAATTATTTTTAAAAAACTGTTTAAAAAAAAAAAACCTAAGGACAACCAATCCAAACAGCCACCTAGGCTTTCTCAAATAAAGCAAGTGCTTCAGCTATAGCCAATCAAATAATTTCCTTCCTTTCCATCTCTTCTCTTTAAAGATCTTTCCCTGAACTCTTCTTAACCACTTCTGGTTTGGCACTGCCCGGTTTGTATTTTGCTCAGATAAACTCTTAAAAAATGTTTTTTTAAGTCTCAGCAGTTCATAAAAACAAAGATTTCTCACTCCTGCTTCTTGTCCACTGTGGGTTGGCTACATCTCTGTTCTGTCATCACTCCAGGACTGAGGCTGAAGGGGCAGCGCTCACCTGGGACATTGCCCAGGTCCCACAGCAGAGAGTGAAGAGAGAAAGTGGCTATAATGTAATGGCTCTTAGTTCTGCTTGGGAATGGCACATGTCAATTCTCACATTGCAGAGGGCAAAGCAGATCATGTGGCTAACCTTGAGGACAATAAGATAAGGATATAGAATCCTTCTGTAAGGAGGAACAGCAATTTTTTTTTTTTTTTTGGCCACATGGGGCTTCTGGGATCTTAATTCCCCAACGAGGGAACAAGGGATCTAACCTGTGTCCCATGCAGTGGAAGCACAGAGTCCTAACCACTGGACCACCAGGGAATTCCCAACAGCAAATCTTTTTGAACAATAACAAAATTTACCATACTATATGTATGCTATCAGTGGGTATCTAATCGACCTCTCAAACTCAACACTTCGAAACTGATCTCCAGATCCTCATCCCATTCTGTTCTCCCCACACAGACTATTCAGTTGATAGCAACTCCTCTGACTGCCCCAGCCAAAATCCTTCAAGTCATTCTTAACACTGCTCTCTCACAGCACATCCAACCCATCAGGAAGTCCTGTTGGCTCTGCCTTCAAAATATATCCAGAATCTGACCACTTCTTGCTACATCCGCTGCTACCAACCTGGTGTGAGTCATCATCATCCCTTGCCTGAACGACTGTAATAGCCTCTTGTCTGGTCTCCCTGCCTCTAGTCTTGCCTCCCCTCCCCTCCAGTCTCTTCTTAACAGAGCAGCCAGAGAGATCCTTTAAAAATCAAAGACAGGACACATCACTCTCACTGCTCAAAATCCTCCAATGGCTGCCCATTTCTCTCAGAATAGAAGCCGCAGCCTTTACAATGGTCTATAAAGTCCTACATGCTCTGCACCCCCCCCACCCAATCTCTCTAATGTCATTTCCCACTCCTCCTTGCCTCCCTGCTGTCCCCTTGAACGTGTGCCTCTTCTGTCCACCTTAAGGCCTTTGCACTTGTTCCCTCGGCCTGCAGTGCTCTCCTAGTTATCTGCATAGGAGACTCTCTCACCTTCTTCAAGTATTTGCTCAAATATTACCTTCTCAGTTATGCCTCCCCTGACGTCCATATTTAAAATTGCAACATGCCCCCCACGTCCTTGGCACTTCCAATTCCCCTTATCCTGCTCTATATTTTTTCCTGAAGCTCTTATTATCTTTTTACAAACTATTTAATGTACTCCCCACTAGAAAGTAACTTTCACAAGGACTCAGATTTTTGTCACTTTTGCTCCTTGATGTCTCCCAAATGCTTAAAGGATCATCTGACAGTAGGTACTCCATAAATATTTGTTAAATGATAGAATGAACATGGGTGAAAAAAGCAAGATGCAGAAGAATGCATACTGTGTGATACTCCATAAAATTCTGAGACAAGAAAATGTTTTAAAATATTGTTCAGGGAGTTATGCACACACAGTACATTAATGCATATTAGTAAGGGAATGGTAACATTTTGGATAGTGGTTATCTCTTAGGGTAAGGATGAGGGAGGAGAGACATAAGACCCTTCAATAGTATTGATCATTCACTATTTCTTAAGTTGGGGAGTTGGTTCATGGGTCTCTTTTATCATGCTTCCTAACTTACATATGGCTTATATATATATTCTCCTGTATACATCAAATATTTTAGTTACAAAATGGTTAAAAGAGAGAGAGAGAGAGAGACCGGAACTAGTTATACGAGGAGTTGAAGAATGGTGTTCCAAACAAAGGAACATGGTGTACAAAGGCCCTGAGGTGGGAACAGTTGTAGTGTTGGAGGACTTGATAGGAAGCCAGTGTGCCTGGAGCACCGTAAGCAAGGGATAGGGAGGCATGAGATGAACTGGAGAGGTGTGCAGGAACCAGATCTTGAAAGCCCACAGTAAGGAGTTTGGATCTGATTGTAAGTGCAGTAGGAAGCCAGTGGAGGATTTTAAGCAGGTGCAAGACATGATCAGATTTAAGTTAGCAGAAGTGGTTTGGGCTGTGGCTTTGGCTGGCTCACGTGCCAAAACTGGGCCTCCCAAAATATGAAGGAACACAGGCAAATTTAAGCCCTCTAGCCTTTCATTTGACTGGAGAATAAGTAATAAAAATAAAGGGGGAGTGGTGGTGGCATTTACTGAAACGGGGAAAACTAAGTAGAACATAATGTAAAAGGGATGTTGTAAATGAGTTGGAGACTTGGAAAGGTGAGCAGGGGTCAGATCATGAAGACTCATAAATCTGGCAAAGGGGGTTGGACTTGATCTTGTAAACACTGGGGAACCATTTGCTTTAAAGCTGCTTTTAAGGGTTTTAAGCTGAGGCGTGCCATGGTCAGATTTGCTTTCAGAAAAATCACTTTGGTAGCCAAGGCAGAGAAAGAGGTAGAGAGCATAACACTAGAGCAAGGGAGGCCAGTGAGGCTCCTGGGAATACTGTCTGGCACCAGCTTGTGAGGCCTGAATTAGGGTGGTGACAGCAGAGATGGAGAACACAGATATGAAATATGTCAGGAAGTAAAATCAGTAGGAATCAATAACTGGTAAGATACTGTGGGGAGAATGGAATGGGGGTGGGGGTGTAGTCAAGGAGGATGGTTAGCACTGATTGGCCATTCACCTCACTCTTGCTCCAGATATATAAGGTAGACCCACCACCAGATCTCAAGGAGGTGGCAGCCATAGAGGCTAGAAGAAATCAAGAAAAGGAGCAACAGAGCCAATTCTTCAATGTGTGGACCAGAGAAATGCGGGTGAGTGGGCAGCAGGGACTTTCTCTGGACCAGGGGCCACCTCACTCTTACACCTGGAGAGGAACATAGCAGTGCCCATCACAGCCCCTCCCTCATTCAAGCAGACTGTAGGGCTAGAAAGGAAGGAGAAGGGTGAAAAGGTACTCACCCCCACGTGTGGGAAGAGCCTGGGAAAGGGGACTGGGGGTGCAGGGGAAGAGACTGGGGTTAGAGGAGCCAGTGACAGCTGACTTCTCCAGTCAGCTCTGGGCCAAGTGGCCTGGTTCTCAAGAGACAGGCAAATGGAGCCGAAAGAAGTCTATAAAGAATATTTGGGGGCTTCCCTGGTGGCGCAGTGGTTAAGAATCTGCCTGCCAATGCAGAGGACACGGGTTTGAGCCCTGATCCGGGAAGATCCCACATGCCGCGGAGCAACTAAGCCCATGAGCCACAGCTACTGAGCCTGTGCTCTAGAGCCCATGCTCCACAACAAGGTGCAATGAAGAGTAGCCCCCACTCGCCATAACTAGAGAAAGCTCAAGCCCAGCAACAAAGACCCAATAGCCAATATTTTGTCAGCCATAAATAAATAAATAAATAAATAAATATATTAAAAAAGAAAAAAGAATATTTGGTATTGCATGCATATGCCTAAACTTTCTGGAAGGCTACATAAGAAACTGTTAACTGTTCCCTGGTGGTCCAGTGGCTAAGACTCTGTGCTCCCAATGCAGGGGGCCGGGGTTCGATCCCTGGTCAAGGAAATAGATCCCGCATGCCACAACTAAAAGATCCCATATACTGCAACGAAGATCCTGCGTGCTGCAACTAAGACCCAGTGCAGCCAAATAAATAAGAAAATAAATAAATATATTTAAAAGAAAGAAACTGTTAACCAGCCTGAGGGACAGAGATGGGAGGGACACTTACTCTTCACTAAACTGTATTCCCTTTTGCACTATTTTGAAACGTTTTAAATGAATTATCAAAATAAAGAGAAAATATTGATAGTTTAAGAAAAAATAGATTGCTGGCTGGGTGGATGAGTGGTGTGACTGAGATCTAGTTGGTAAGCGTTTCCTCAGGGCCTGCTCTGTGCCAAGCACTGGGTTGGGCAGTAGGGATACAAAGCTGACTAAGGCCCAGTCTCTGCCCTTAGCAGGCTCATAGTCTGGTGTAGGAGATAATCAATAGAGGCAAACTTCATTATAGTGTGGGCAGTGGGCCCTAGATTCTATGGGAGTAGCACCTGCTGGAGGGGTCAGGAAAGTGAAGTCTGAGCTGGTCTTAAGGGATGAATAGGAGTTTGGGTAAAGAGGGGAGGAAAGAGTGTTCCAAGTGGAGGGAGATGCTGGAGCAAAGGCTATCAGTATGAAACAGCCTAAGATGTGCAGGGAACTGTAAGCAGAGCTTCTGAGGGTGGGAGAGGGGAAGAGGGTGAGATGAGGCTGGAGACAGAGGAAGAGGCTAGACCACTGAGGGACTTACAAACCATGCTGAGATGGTAGAACATTATCCAGTAGGTACTGGGGATCCTATAGGAGGATTTTGAAGCAGGTAAATTCTGAGCAGTCTATGTTAGAGCATTCGAGGCCCACTGCTGGGCCCGTACCTTGATTTAACTCATTTCTTTGGGATCAGGTGGATGCTGAAGCCCTGAACAGCCAGGTGGAAGAGAAAAAGCTTAGGAAGGCAAAAAAGCAGAGCAAGGTGGCAGCTTATGGTAAAAGCCCAAGGCCAGGGGCCAGCCAAAGAAGAAAAGCAAGGGCCGAGTGGGATAAGGCAGGGCAGTTCTGCTTCGGAGTGGGGCCTGAGGCCTGGGGTGTGGTAAGACAAACCAGATTGACCTTTGGGAACAGTGGCTGTGCTGAGTGGGCTCTGTCCCTCCCATGGGGCCTTCTCCATGCCCCTACCCACCACCCCCAGGTACCAACCAGGTGCAATATGATGTGGTGGCTCAGATACTACAGAAGGAACAGGCAGAACGGACAGGTCGGCTGGCCAAGAAAATGCAAGTTTCGGAAGCAGAAGCAGCAGCTCAAGAAAAGGCGTGAACTTGACTTTTGGGATTCAGACCGACTCTGGAGGGAGTTTCCAGCTCATCTTGGTGACAATGATCCCCACTGGGGCCCAACCAGCCTGCAGTGCTTCTCTGGGGAAGATTTGGACAGGGCCATATGCCTGAGAATGCAGCAGGAAGAGTTCATGCACAGCCTGGAGAAGCCGCTGCAAGAGCAACAGCAAGCCAGAGTTGAGGAGAACTGTGCAGGTAAGCAGCGGGGCCCTCCAGGCTGTGACCTGAGGCCTAGTGGGGAGTCATCCTGAGCTGGATACAGCGCCCAGAAGACCAGAACTGTGTGGGGAGGTCCAGTTACCCATAGGGGCTGATGCTGAAAGGTTAGACTGAGCAGGCCCCAACCTCCTTGACTTCCTTCATCAACTGACAGTATAGCCACTGATCCCCAATCAGCCTGGCACTCCATTACCTGGAGGCAGCATAGTGAAGACAAACCTAATGGCTCTGCTGCTTACTAGCTGGTTTGGGCAAATGAATTTTCCTCTCTGTGCTTCAGTTTCCTTATCTTTAAAATGAGGAAATGAATCCATACCACAAAGAGCTCGTATGAGAATGAAATGAGATACTGTAAGTAAAGCACAAGCGTCAGTGCTCAATAACCAGTAGCTACTATCAATATTATTATGACATCTGTGGCTATGTCCCCCTTTTCCATTAGAGTAAGCCTTTCACAGGCAAGGACCATCTCTTATCTACTCACACTGCTCACCTTTAAAGCCACTCCTGTTATAGCACCCTGTTCTGTTATACCGCTTATCACGGAGGTAACTAAGTATCTGAAAGTATTTGTGGAATGTCTGTCTTCTCCCCAAAATGTCAGCTCACTGAAGATGAACCACATATCTCATTTCCACCCCTATATCCCAGTTGCCTAGTACATTGTCTGCCACAGTGTCAGGAGCTCAATAAATCATTGTTGAATGAACAATTGACCAATGTAAACAAGAAAGGCACCCTACCCTCCAGGAACCCACAGAACCATGCCTTCCAGAAAATCAGTGTAGAGTAAGAGGAAAAGATACATGCACAAGTCATTTACCAGCACATATCTATACTTTAACGCTGCGTTAGGTACTATGAGCGGTACTGTGATAGAAGTATAGACAGGACACGGAGGAAACATCAATATGGGAGTGGTCAGCTCTCACAAAGGAGAGGAGGCAGGGCAGGGGGTTGGCACAGGCCCGCTGTCAGGAACCAGTTTTGGAAAGTTGGGTACAATTTCGGCAAGGCAGAGAGTGGGAATGAGAAAAGGTCATTCTAGGCAGAGCAGGTAGCAAAAGGAAGAGCTAACCTTTGCTGAGCACTTACTGTATACCAGACACTGTGTCAAGCTTTCTACCATGTATTAACTCATTTTATCCTCACGACAACCCTATGAGGCAAGTACTAGTAGTATCCCTATCTTCGGTGGAGGAAACTGAAGAACAGAGATGTTAAATAACTTGCCCAAAATCATACAGCTAGTGGGTGATGGAGGCGGGAAGTGCGGGAAGTGAACTCAGGCAGGCTGGCTCCAGAGCCTGCACTCTTGACTGCTACGCCACACTTGCTGTCAGTCACCATGAGAAACTGGGAACTCAGAGGCCAAGGGAGAACTTTCAAAGAGGGAGTCATCAATAACGTCAAATGCCCCAGAGAAGTTCAGATAGGAAAAGAATGAGACTTGAAAATGAGATTTGGAAAATGAGATTTGGAAATTAGGAGTATTTGGTGATTTTTGTCAGAACAGTTGCAGTGGAACCAGGGGCCAGCTGCCCAATGGCAGCAGGCAGGTGTACGAGAAGGTAGAGCAAGGCAACAGGGACAGCAGAATGCTGGGAGAGAGTCTGTGTAATGTCATGGAAGGAGCATGGGCTGATTCCTCGAGAGATCCGGATTCAAATCCCAACTTACTACTTGCTGGCTGTGTAACCTTGGGCATTTTACTTCACCTCTGTACCTCATCTGAAAAATGGGGCTGATCTTTCCTCTCTGGGTTGCTACGAAGAGTGAAATGAAACAAGGCACCCCTATCCTCCCTTCCCCTGCCCTCCAGTCTCTGAAATCTGTGTCCCTGTGCCTCTCCAGAGCCAACCCCTCAACCTATGCTCTGGACCCCATTCCCCCTGCCTCCCACACAGGCTGTGCTCCCTTTAGGTACTCCCCGCTGGGTTCTCAACACTTGCCCTTCCACTGGCCCCTTCTGTGAAGGCTGTAAGCATGCTTGTGTCTAACCCTTCTTAGGAAAAAAACAAAAGTCTCCCTCCACTCTGTGATTCCTCTAGATGCTGTGAGCTAGCTGTTTTCCTTTACAACCATACTTTCTGAAAAATCTGCTTCCACTTGCTCTTTCCTTCCGAACTTTCCAGTCACACCTCAACCCCTGAGATCTCATTTCTCCCCACACAACTTCACTGACACTGCTCTTACTAAAATCATCAATGCCCTTTGTGTTATCAGGTACAAGAGGCTCTGTTCAGTCTTTTCTCCTTGACTGGGACTTTCTTGCTACACTTGACTATGATCACATCTTCCTTCTTGAACCTCTCTCTTCCTTGGCTTCTGTGACAGCACATTCTGCTTGTAGCTCTCCGATCATTCCTCCTGTCTGCCCTTTATGGATTCCTCTTCCTTCTACTTCTTCCTTCTTGAGACTCTGTCCCTGGTGCACTCCTTACCCTGCATACTTGCCTCAGGCACCCTCGGTCCTCATTCTGGTTTCAGCTAAAATGTCGCCACCTCTGTGCTGAGGACTCTTTACCTGCAGAATCAGATATCCAGGTGCCTGCGGACCACCTCCAACTCAGCTTCCTAAACAATTCATCAGTGCTCCCTAACCTGCTCTAAATTCTGTATCCTCTAGTTCCAGTGGTGGCCACACGATGCATGGAGTCATCCCAGCCAGGACCCTGGAAAGCATCCAAGTCTTTCTTCTCCCTTACTCCCTCATCCAATCCATCAAGTACTGCTGATGTAACCTCCATATATTTCCCCTCCATCCTTTCCATCACTGGCCTGGTTTGAGCCCTCCCAACTGGCCTACTGCCTTAGCCTCCAAGATGGCTTCCCTACATCAACTGTCTCCCACCAGCCTGACTGTCCTCTATACTGGCCACCAAAAGGAGCTTTCTAAAATGCAGATCTGTGTCACCCCCTTACTTAAAATCCTTCCATGTTCCCCACCACCTTCAGGGTCAAGTTTTTAGTCCTTAGTCTGGCCCCTGTAGAGCTCCCTAGTCACTTGCATTTTATGCTCTAGGAAGAGCAGACTATTTGTAATTTAAGATACAGACCATGCTGTTTCTTGGCTTCCTTCATTCATTTGATAAATATTTACTGAGCACCCACTATGTGCCAGGCTCTGATGCAGGTGCTAGGGCATGGTAGTGGATAAAACAGACAAAAATCCCTGCTTTCACAAGGGTTACCTTCTAGTGAGGAGAGAGACAGGCAATAGACAAAAATAATTAAGTAAAATGTAGGGTATATTGGATGGTGACAAATGCTAGGGAGAAAAATAAATCAGAGAAGGAGGATAAATGTTGGGGGCAGGCAGGTGGCAATTTTAGGTATGAGAGACAGAAGGCCTCACTGAGGCGGTAACATTTGAGCAAAGACCTGAGGGAGGCAAAAGAGCACGAGACAAGAGCAACGTTTATTGCAAATCCCTGAGGCAGGACCGTCTGGCATGTTCTAGAAACAGCAAGGAGACTGGTGTGGCTGGATTGAAGCAAAGTTTCAATACATTTGCTCATGCTGTGCTTGCAGCCTGGAATGCCCTTTGCCCTTTCTGACTATATGCAACATGTATTTCAAGGATCACCTCCTCCTGGAAGCCTTCCTCTCACCCAAAGCTCTCTTAATGCCCTACATACATCTCTGTCATTGCCCTTACCACATTGTGGTATGATGATCTACATTTGATCCATCTCCTCCATTAGACAAGGAACTCTCTGAGGACAGGATCTAATTCATTGGTATCCTCAGAACCCAACACAGGGCCCTTAGACTGAGGCTCAGAGATGAAATGATTTCCCCAAGGTCACACAGCCCAGAAGCAACAGAGCTGCATTGAGACTCCAGCCCATTGGAGGCATCTTTCAGTGAGGGACCTGAGAAATTCTTGTTGCTGTCACTTTGGTTATCCCTGGCTCGAAAGAGTACCTCCTTCCACACATCCCTCCAATGAGGACATTACCCCCTTCCGAAACATACATACACATACATCCACAAAGCTTGCTGAACAAATGGCTGAATGAGTGAACCAGAAATGCAGCAAGCCAGTACAGTGCCCTGACCGTATTTCTCTGTGTAGATATGCTCAGTGAACAGCTGCGCCTAGCCGTGGACTTGCAGGCCACCCAGCTGGCCAAGCTGGAGGACTGCTGCCACAAGGCCATAATGTCTGCCATGGCCAACGCCAACAAGGCCCAGGTACGTATGGCCAGAGCCATCCAGTGCACCCGGCTCTCCCCAGTCCCCTGAACAAAGTCCTGGGGAACCTCAGCCACATCTTTCCCCTCACAACCCTTCTCGAATCAACACCAGCCCTCTCATCTACCTGAGGATTTCCCCCTTCACCCAAGGGCCCTCTTAGGGCAGACGGTCCCCTTCCCCACCTCCAGACTCAGGATGACCTGAGAACAGAACACTGCCCTCCCTTGCCCAGCCTCTTAGTCTAAGGGCTTCCAGAGGGCAGGGGAGTTCCCTGCCCATTCCACCCCTTCCCCCACCTTAAGTCACTCAAAGGCCATGCAGTATCTGTTCCTTCTCTCCCTGAGATGGAGGAGAGTAGGGCCATGTCTCCCCCTCCCCTGTGACTGAGAGCTCCCTGAGGTTGGGCATCCAAATGCTCACATTCGGGGGCCCCACCAGGTAGCTAAGATGGCTAAGCAGCAGCGCCGTGAGCATCAGCACCAACAGGAGGACAACCTCATGGAGAACCAAAACCAGATCACAAGTGAACTACTGACTGAGAACCCCCAGGTCGCCCAAAACCCTATGGCTCCCCACAGCGTCCTGCCCTATTGCTGGAAGGGCGTGATTCTAGAGCAGAGAGCTGCCATCAGGAAAGTACAGGAGGTGCAACACCATGAAAAGGAGGCACAGCGCCAGACCGAACAAGCACTGGATACCAAATGGGAAAGCCAGTCCATGTGCTTGGCCCAGGCAGCAATGGAGCTAGAAGAGCAGGAGAGGGAGCTGTGTGCTGAATTTCGGAGGGTACTAGGCTCCTTCAACCAGCAGCTGGCTAAGGAGCAAAAAGACCAGTGAGTTCTAGGGGGTGGCAGCAGGGATGAATGCCAAGGGAGGGTGGAGACGGATGGCAAGGGCCAGGCAGAGAGGGAAAGCCCATCACCTGAGGCCTCTGGATTTCTATCTGAATTCAATAATCTACACCAATCAACCTACAGCCCAATATCACTTGCAATTCAACACCAGCAGCCGCTGAGCTCTGGATGGTCATCTCTCCCTCCTCCATCAATCAAGCTCACAGAGGCTGAGTCAAGAGAGGAAGATGATCCATTTCCCAGTGGGAGAGCTGAGCCAGCACCCCCACCTTTGACCCTAGGTAATAAAGTTATTCACTAAAATCAAGGCCACGTGTTGTAATAGGACACAAAAGGTGTGAGGTACTGCCTTTCCCGCCCCACCCCTGGGCTCTGAGCATGCAACCCTGTCAGAGTCTTCACCCATTCACCTTTCTTCCCCATGCCAGTTCCCCCAGCACACAGTGCTGCTCGCTCCCCTGTGAGAAAGAGACTTTATTAGGCACGAAGGGTGACTGGTGGGCAGAGGTTACAAAATGGCTACTGGGCTTCCTCCCAAGCTGGAGTAGAGTACTCCAGGAAGAGGAGGGACAGAGGAGCCTGTGTTTTCTCTGCCTTCCCCCTTCAAGGCTGCATGCGGATGGCCCCATCCAGCCGGATGACCTCTCCATTGAGGAATGGGTTCTCGATGATGGCCTGTACCAGATGAGCATACTCAGCAGAGTCACCCAGTCGGCTGGGGAAGGGCACCTGGCTGGCCAGGAAGTTGCGCACTTTATCTGGGAGGGTGGTCAACAGCGGAGTGCCAAATAGGCCTAGACAAGACAACCAGAGTCAGAGACCCACCCTCGCTTTCATATTTACCTGGTCCCTCCTCACCTTAACCCTACTTGTGGTGCTTCCCTATGCCCAGAGATAGAAGGCTGCTGCTGTTTAGATGGTAAATACCTTCCCCTCTCAATTGCCCACAGATCCCATCCAATCCCAGGTGTGGCAGGGAGGGGATATGTCTACCTGGAGCAATGGTCATCACCCGGATGCCCATGGGAGCCAGATCCCGAGCAATGGGCAGTGTCATGCCCACTATGCCCCCCTTGGAAGCAGAGTATGCAGCTTGTCCAACCTGGAGAAGGAGTGGAGGTCACAGGGGGAAGGGGCCCCAACAAGTCACCAAGGCACAAGCCTTGCCCCTACTCACACACCTGGCCCTCAAAGGCAGCTACACTGGCTGTGTTGATGATGACCCCACGTTGGCCTCCCTGGTCTGGTTCATTCTGGCCCATCTCACCAGCTACCAGGCGGATCACATTGAAGGTGCCTATGAGATTCACCTGGAGGACCAGTAGAGACATGGTGTAGGACCTAAAGCAGAAGCAGTCTTTTGTCCCCTAAAAGCTTTGGGGACACCCACAGCCAGATACTTCTTACTACTACCCCTGGAGAACCTCTAAGGCCTTACATTGAGAACTCGCTGAAAGTCCTCCAAGGTATGGGCCTGGCTCTTCTTTAAGTTGTATGTCTTGCTGGCCACTGCAATGCCTGCACAGTTGACTGCCACATCCACACGGCCAAACTTTTCTTTTGCTAGAGTCAGGGCTGCTTGCACGTCCTTCTCTGAGGTCACCTTCAAAGGGAGAAGTGGAGAAGGTATTCATCTCCCATCACACACATACCACTAAATCTTGAGGAGGGGAGGACAAGGCAGGTTCACTCTTTGAGTGACAAGAGAATTGTGTAAGCAAGGGAGAGGCCAGGAGAAAGAAAACTCGAGAGTGGGACAAAGGTGAAAATGTTAGGTAATACAGAGCAGTGTTTCAAAACATTTTTGAAATCCATACCCTCTTCTGATAAATTCACATACCCCTGGAGATTCTCAACTGCTGTGGATCAGAGAAGTTTTGAGAATTATTGATATGAAGATAAACTAGCTTTTTTGTACCCGTACCTGCTAAGATAATTTCGTCAAGCTTTACTTCCTGTAGTTTGTTTCATGAAAAGTTTTTTGACTTTGTAAATATAAAATTACAGGGCACAATATGCATTTTCAAACTATACATACTTCTTTGAGGAGATTCTGATATGGCCAATTCCCAACCCCTCCGTTGTGAAACCCAGCTTTAGAAATTCCTTACCGCAGGCGTTTTGAAAATGGCTCAGGCCAAAAGGGAAAAGGAGATGGGTCCACTGCCCACATAGACGGTACCCTTATGAAAAGGGACCCCATGGGAGAGGTGAGGTAATCCCACTTACGTCCGCTGGGGCAAAGGCGCAGTTCTTCCCTAACTTCTTGGCCTGGGTCTCCCCATCCGAGTTGGGCAGGTCGAGAAGTACAGCAGTGGCCCCCTGCCCCACCAGTCGCTCCGCCGTGGCCAAGCCGAGGCCCGAGGCTCCACCGGTTATTACGGCGACCAGACCCTGTGAAGAGGGGCACGGTCAACAACTATACTGTACAGACCACCCCGACCCTTGCATCTGCCCATTTTCCAGGCTTCTGCGAGGGAGGCTCCTGGTCACCCCTGCGGTTTGACCCAGATGTGCCTCCTCACTTTAACGATGGGACCTCTGGGTGTCTCATCCCCCAGAAGCCCATCCAGACACCCCGCATGCACGTGCCCCAGAGAGTTGACCTTCACCTCCCGAGGCCAACCGCCGCAATAGCAGGCCTCGATAAGAGTAACCCTTTCTGCCAGCACCGATCTCTCCCCCCTAGTTCTACGGCCGCGCCGTCCCAGCAGGTGCAGCGGGGCAAGAAGCAGGGACGAAGACCCGGTTACCTTCACGCTCCGACACGCAGCAGCCATCTTGCGCTGGCCTCTCTACAAGCAGGACTGCCGGGCGCTCGCTGGTTGGCCGAGGCAGAGCCGTGGGGCGGGGCCGGCGAGGCTGGCTGTCCGCGGCTAAGGACAAACGGCGAGTGCCGGCGGCTAGCGTCCAAGACCCGAGAGCACGCCCGGGCAAGGTCCCGGCCGAGAGTTATTTCACCCGGGGGAGAAAACAACGAGTAGCAGCATCGCACCACCACAACCTCCGGCCTTTGGGCAAACGGCCACCTCCGCTGGGGGGAGGGGGACAGGAGATTGAGCGTGTGTACCTTACTCCTCGGAAAAAGCCTCCATTCAACATTCATATGTTTATATCTGAGAGACTCCTATATGCCAGGCTCTGTGCGGGGCACTGGGGATAACCAGAGGAATAATAAAAGGTTCATGCCTTACGAGGGGGAAGTTGGAAAAAGTTCAATTGGAAAAAGAGATAATTACAGTACAGACACACGAAGGAAGGGACAAAGAACCAGATTCTAGAACCCAGACATGGATATCCAAAGATGGAGATTCTGAGAGCCATGTACAGAGAAACATGTCGAGGAAGAGATTGAGAGGAACAGAGATGACCGACAGATTCTCAGAGATAGGATGTGGGGAGCCATTAAGAGAGAAGCTAGGAGACAGACATTCTGAGACAGCTGCTGAGAAGCACAAACCCAAATAGGCATAAACAGAGAAGCCAAAAACATCTTTCATCAGGTCAGCCTTTGCTACTGTCTTCTTTGTCTAACCTATTTTAAACCCCAAAGCCCAGATCAGATTGGAAACATTTCAGATTGGACCTCAACGAGAGACTGTCATTTAAGACCCAGAACATCCTAGAACATCTTTTAACCAGTATCCCAATTAGAATCCTGAGCCCACCTAATCTACCTAATCTGATTTCTTTCTATGGAAGTATACTTCTCCCCAAACCAAGGTCTTCAGACCATAACCTTAGTCTACATTTTCAGCCTCATTCGGTTGTATGTTTAATCTATCTGAAGTATCTCCCTTTGTGTTTTCCCATCCAGGAAGACTTCCCTCTGGGCCTCCTAAATGTTGACCACCGCCACACTCATGGTCACTACACCATATTCATCAAAGGATTTAATACCAGATTCACAATCTTTCTAACAACATGAAGCCCCCCAGCAGTCTATAGCACTCTTCACTGAGCCCAGTATGCTCCAACCACAGTGCCCTCTTTGTGTTCTTCTTTGTTTTGTTTTTTAATTTTTATTGGAGTATAGTTGATTTACAATGTTGCGTTAGTTTCAGGTGTACAGCAAAGTGAATCAGTTATACATATACATATATCCACTGTTTTTTTAGATTCTTTTCTCATATTGGCCATTACAGAGTATTGAGTAGAGTTCCCTGTGCTATACAGTAGGTTCTTATTATTTATCTATTTTATATATAGTAAGTAGTGTGTATATGTTAATCCCAATCTCCCAATTTATCCCTCCCCCCTGTGTTATCTTTGAATTAGCTATTCCCTCTGTTTGGAATGCTCGCCCCCGATCTTTGCATGACTGTATTTGTTGCTGTTGTTGTTGTTGTTGTTTGGTCATTCAGAGCTAAGCTTAAATGTCACTTCCCCTCCCGGAACTCTCAAGCTGTAAACCACCTAGTTACTATCCCATTGGCTTGGAAGATGTCATCAAGAGGACGTGACCTCTGGTTGACCACAGAGCTGGACCCAGGCATTGGGAGACTCCTTACCCCCTCCTCTGTCCTTGGAATATATCCACCATTCCCACAGGTGGAGCTGTTTAAGGACGCAGCCTTGAAAGAGTAAGGTGTTGAGACCATCTGGACTGAATACATGACTGAACCCCCTTAACGCCTCTATATAAACTTTTAAGATTCTGGCAGGTGGGTGTGGAGATCTACTCGCCTTTCGGCCACCCAAAGCAAACCTTGGAAGTTCCCTTGCTCATTAAATCTGCCACCTACCAATGCGGAGTGGTCTGCCTCTTTCTTCAGTTTCTCCTTGCCCTCCCTGTTCAGGGGCCAGTTTTTGAATCAACACATTGCATGTTTGAATTCTCTGCATAGCACTTACAGGCCCATCATCTTTTTTCCAAACTTGGGGCCAGATATGCTTTGGAATTCAGAATTTTTTCAATTTTAGAAAGGAAGACATGTACCCTATATTACATAACTCTATATACCGCATATACTCTATATTACATAACTACTTAGAAAGGTCTGGAGCATCACTTATAATTGAACATTAATTTCTAGAGTCAAAAGTATGAAAATTCACACTGAGTGAATCAAGACTACAAATAACCTCATGCTACTTCAGATCAGGTTTTGTCACCTAACGAGTTTGGGCTCCAAAGTATGAAAAAACAACCTATACTTTTCAGAACTTTTGGCATTGTGGAATTGTGCCTCAGAGGCTTTTGAGTCTTGTCTAACCTGGCCTCG